CATTATTTTAAGGCTTTGAGAACTCTATGTTTCCACAGGCCTTTTTATTTTGTTTTCAGTTTTTTGGTTTGTTTACAACTTTTTCTTTTCCATTCCTATTCATTCACCTATTTCCTACTCATTCAACTATTCATTCCTCATTCACCAATCTTCCACCTACATCAAACGGCTGGTTTGCCCTGAATGGCCATTTATACACAGGTAAGTTTCAAATATATTCTTACTTAAAAAATTACATCCAAGTGTCTATGTAAACACAAATTTCATCAACCCTGAAGAACTCCTTTCACTTACAGGCACAGTAGGCAAGTAAGACAAATATTACATTGCCTATTTAAAAATGAATTGCTCCTAGGAGCTCCCTTACATTGTTATTCCCCAAAGTTGTTGAGATTTTTTTTTCTGTCTTGAAGATTACATTTCAAGGCTACTCTGGAGAGCCAAGTAAAGTGCAAGGTTTGGATATTTGCTGACTTTAGAGTTCTTCATAAAGTACAGTATTTTCACATGGATACAATTTCAACATCAGATCTGTTCAAAGCATGAACCAAATACTTTCACAAAAGCTGAAGGTATGGCCTTACCGAAGAGGCTGCAGTATGCAATTCTTCCTGTGGCCGGCACTGCATTCCGGAGCTGTTTGGGAATACACTCCTGTCTAAAAGGGTTCAACAACTGAGAAGCTCCTGCAGCCAAACTGAACTCATAGGGCAGCTATGTGCCTGTTCTTTCACAAAGACAATGATTTAAAGCCTACAATATGATGATGCCATTTATGGCGCACATATGGAGAGAAGATCAGGCACGAGAGATAGATGAAAGTCTAATCTAGAAAGTAACTACTCATCAGAAAGTAAGACAAGCAAAAAATTCCTAAAAGCAGAAAATGAGCTTACGGAAATCGGTTGTGGCCCAGATTCAACACAATGGACTAAATAATTTTGACAAATCCTCTAGTGCTTCCTGAAACTTTATAACCCCAGCAACAGGCAATTTGGAACACTCCTGTAAAGAACCAAGAGATCCAAGTCCTCTCGTGTATTTCAGTGGATAGAAGAGGAGAAAGAGAGCCTTGAGCCTTATTGCCAATCACCAAGAATGGCCATTCTCACACTATTATAAACATTTGGTCTCCATGGAAGGGGGATACCTAGAAGCAAACATTGGCAACCAAGGACATTCCACTCCCACTATATCGTCCACAATAACAAGGAGAAAAAAAAAAAAATAAAATCCATAAGGCTGTTTCAATTAGGAAACCTTTGAGAAGACTTCTTCGAAAGTGAGTGTCTGAAAATACCTTGAAATATGGGAATGTGCAACAACAGTTAGATGGGGGAAAACAGGCATCTTACTTTACTCTGAAAGCATTTACACTTTACCCCAAAGTGGGAACACCTAATAATCCAAGAACCTTTTGCCAAGAACAAGGTCATAGTTTTCTTTTTAATTCAGAACAGAACCTAACACACACCACATTCTGCACCGAACAGAGAATCTCATAATTTACAGGTGTTTGGAGCCAGGTTTTCGTTTAATACAAACTCTTAACATGTAAGAACTTTCTTATATTGGGCTTTGTCTTCCTGTCGGGTTACAGTTCTGTAGCTCTTTAAAAGCTGTCAGTAAGAATGAAGCAAGAACTGCAAAACGGAGTTCTGCCCCAAGAGAGATATGAACAGATAAATTCATTCACAGCTAAAAGTACTTATACATTAACATACACTTGGACTGTTGATAATTCTAGAATTAAAGACTTATCTCTGTATATACACTAATGTGACAACAACCTAAACCTACATCAGATTTTGCTCCATGTTAAGAAAATAAAGCCTTTAACGAGCTGAAATTTTACTTCAGCTGTTCATTCATTGTAGCGACAGTGAGCCCTAGTCATGGACCAAGACATCATTGTGCTGTGTGCTATACAGAATTAAATGGTGCAAGTTGTTCCATCAAAAAAAACACCACCACCCCCCCAAAAAATCACATTACACTCAACTAGAGACAAAAGGAAGGGATAGAAGAGGGAGAAGCGTTTATGCTTTGAGAACTTGGGGCTTGCAAATTCTCGATTTCACTGTCATGGTTAGGAAAATGTGGCAGTAAAGCAATGCAACCTTATTTCTAAATAAACAAAAAGATTGGTCAGTCTGCTGATGAAAGACAGGATAAAGAGAACAAGAGAACTATTAAATTATCTGCACTTCTGGGATTCTTGCTATTCTTTTGCAAAGTGAATGGCTTATGCTAATCAGGATGCATCTGAAATACATCATTCAAGCCTTCTTGTACAAATATAGTTCTTATTTATCCAGAAAGATCCCCACCAGCTGGCAATGTTTGCATACAATGTTAAACCCAACTTCAAGAGCCCATGCATTATGAGTCATTTTACATTTAAAAACATTAGTTTTCTTAGCTGTTCTTGAAGATGGTGTATCTCATGAGAAGAATTTTAGTGGAATTCAACTACACTATGTTACTGTTCTACTTCCTCTAGCACAAAGAAGTTACAAGTTTTCTGTTGTTTGGTGGGTTTTTTCCCTCTTAACGGTGCTTTGCCTACAGAACATCTTTGGAAAAGGGACAAAAGGATTTGCACCAATCCCTTCTATATGAATCAAATATTTATGCTATGGCCTCTTCAAGCACTTTCATCTAGTAACCTATGGAATGTGATCTCCTGACCTTAACACTCAAGCACGTCTAAATCAGCTGCCCTTTGAGCTGTATTACAGACTACAGAGAATTTTTATACATTTGTATTACAGGCATATGAAAACCTTGTGGCCCAGCTGTGGCATTCTGTGCTACAAAGCATACGTTAGTCCAAAGTCGCTCAAGCGTGCTTCAGGAAAGAGCAATACTTTCATTCTCCCATGCTTATGGCACAATCTGCTGTCATGTGTCACCACAAACAGGTAGAATGATGAACCATGCTATCAGTATATTAACCAGCCATGACAATTTAAATATGTGTCATGCCAAACAATACCACAATTACGAGGTGCCAGCACCACTGCAATCCCATGGCCCACTATATGACCCATTCTGCCTACTCCGCACTGCCCAGCTTCCTTTCTGCCTCCAGGCTCCTCCCCAGGACAGGCAGCGTTGCCTGCAAAACATCTCCAGAATCAGAAAGACAACAAGCTTGGGGAAAACCGGGCGCCCCTTTCCCTCCTCCTGGAAATCCTAGCCTTTCCTCAAGAAAGCACTAGAGCAGAAACAAATCATTCTGTGTTGTGTTTATGGCTCCCAGAAATGTCTTAAGGACTGGGGTTATGTTGCAAGTGTCCTGGAGAAAAAGAGAGGGAGACCAAGTGCCCCAGATGAACCTGCAACTTCAACTATGGGACAAATTTTTCCAGGGTCAGCTCATGACCCTGCTCCTAGGAGGAGCAGTCACTGAGGTAACCCTGGGGAAAGTCTGACCCAAAGATTTAACAGGGTCATGATCTGGATGCTAGGGTTCATGTTTTTCTATCAGCTCTGAAAAACCAACGTGATGCTGCCTATCACTCACACAGGAGCAGCCCAAGGGTGCAGGGCAAGCTTGAGAAGATGGTTCTTGTGTTCCCACCCTGATATGGCAGAAAGGCTCAGTTTCCAGAAAAAGTCAAGGGTAGCAGAAGAAAGTGACACAGCAGCCAAAACCTATGCCACGTCCTCTCCCCCAAGATGGATGCTGGTCAGTCACCTACCCCAGTCCTCTTGCAAGGTGCCCCACTGGCTGTTGCAACTCAGCGGAGACTGAGGCGCCCTCAGTTCTCTGAGGGTCCGTCAGCTCAGAGCACGCTGACTTGCTGCCCCCCCTCTAAGGCAGGAACAGGACACCTTTTCCACCTTCTTTTCCCACCGATATCCCTACAGGGAAGAGGAAAGGAAAAAAAAGAAAGAGGAACAGAGACCACAACAGACCAATATGTAGCATTTCCTGTATCATCTGCAGGAAAAACCCACGCAGTGGGGAAGAGCACGATGTCAAGGCTGGTTTCAGCACATAAACAGCCAGATCCTCCTGCTGGGGGATGCTGTGTGTTTCCACAGGGAACAATATAATTCTCCCTGCAAAGACGAGTCCTACTACCAGCCACACAAAATTCCACAGGCCCTTGCCTTGCACAAAGGACTGGTAGCAATGAAACATGGCCGTGAGGAAGTGGGTATGGGGGTACAGAGCTGGGGTAGAAGGAAAATCAGAAATTCACAGCAGTATTATCACTTGTAAAGCAGCACACATTCAGCGCTTGGCCCCTAGAGAAAGGAGTATGCTACAAAATATGCTTCCCTGCACAGAGACTGGGCCTCCATCCAGTTATTATGTGCACATGTCCCTGCTGCGTTTTCAGTCTTACTTTAAAAAAAATCTTAAAACAAAGAAAACATATCCTCATACTCACTCTGTACAGTGCCAAGCATGTTCCTAGCCACGTTCAATTATCTGTTAAGGCGTGTTAATTATGGGTTCAACACTTTTACACCTTGTGACACAGCAGTAAAGCACTTAATGTAAAACAAATTCCAGTGTGAAACAAGGAATCTCAACTGATTGTGGAAGCCCTGTTTGCACGCGTGCATACGTAAATGCACATACATGCTTCTCTGTGAAGCATGACGAGCAAAGACAATCTTAACACGTGGGTTACAAGCACAATGACTGCGATTATTTTGTCAAAAGAAAAGAGCACCACAAGAAACACGGCTGCTTTCAAACACAGCCTGACACAAACCCACTTCAGCGACTTCCACAGAATTTTACTTTATCCAGTTACACACAAGTACATCACTACTAATTTTGGCTATTTACTGCCAGCGGTAAAAAGAGCGGGTGAACGTATTTGTTTTGCAGGAATTGTGCAAGATGAAGAGTAACCTTTACAGGAGAGAGAAGTGATGGGCAAAAGCTGACAGAGAAGAGAGCCAGTCTAACTCCCAGGTTTAGGCTGCAAGAATGAATGCCGAGTCCCTTGCGCCATGCGCTATGAGTCTCTTACCTACTGATCTGCTGAAGACAAAAGGGTTTTCTTCTTTTCAGAAACTGGACACTTGGAGCTCGTTGGGTCAGTCACACAAAGCTTCCCTGCTGCCAAAGGTATTTTTTTTCCCTCGGGTTTTTGTTGTTGTTGTTTGGTTTTTTACCCCGGAGAGTAAAGGGCAGAACAGTGGATTCAGCAGGGGCAAAGGGTGGAATTCAAGACTCAACAGGCGGACTGCAGAGCTCTCTCCAAAAGATGTTGTATTTCAAGGCGCTTTCATTCGCAAATCCTTCTTCATCCCCAGTGTCAATAAAACTGGAGGGGGGGGGAGTAAACTTTTTAAACTGCAGAAATAAACTGGACTCCACAGAAAGGGGAACGTGATACGAACTGGATTTGTGGCTCGACTTTTTCTTTTATTAAAGATAAATATACTTTCAGACAGGCAATCAAGACAGATGGGTAAGAATCCAATACGGCCAGACAGGACCTGCCCGCAGTCCCTGGAAGGAGGATAGCGGTATCTCAAGAACGGCAGAATAAACAAAAAGAAGGGACAGTCTGCGTCCCGGCGGAGGTGGCCCGGCGCAGGCTCCGCTGTCAGTGGCAGCGCCGCCCGCGGCACTCGCAGCGCCCGCGGCCCCGGCAGGGAAGGTCGGCCCGCAGCATCGCGGCCGGGGGAAAGCTGCTCCGCTCCGATCCGCTCCGCGCCTCCTTCTCCGCGGTTACCTGTGCGCAGCGGGG